CTGGCAGGCCGATGGAATACGGAGGAGGCCCAATCTATGAGATCGAATTGGTCGCAGGGAGGTAATTGGCAGAAGGCGGTCTCTCAAGTACCCAGGTTACATAACCCACCTTACTTAATCCTTAAGGAGAGTTAAGATTACATAACTCTTCTTAATTAATCCTTAAGGAGGGTTAAGGTTACATAACCCTCCAAATTAAAGTGTCCCAAGCCAAGAGGAAATACAACACAGAAACTTGTTTGCTTAAAATAAGAGATCATATAGATCAGGGGTGTCAAGCTTGCAGTCCGCGGACTGGATACATCACACGCTTGCCATTCCCACTTCCATTTTAGTGAAGTGGGGAAAAGTCATGATACATGATTTGATGACAACATGATGCCGCCGAATTTGACACCTCTGATATGGACTATAAGAAATATATTCTGCTCCCCATTCAGATAACCAGAATCCCCAACAATGTGAAAAGATTGAATAATTATTCAACAAGGTATGCCTGTGTTGATTCTGGGCTTAGTCTTAGTTAAGTTGATTCCATTTCCTTGGCTAAACAGTTAAACATTTACCCCTGAAGATTCTGTTAATTATTATGTCAAGCATGAAGATTTCACAGTACATTGTGCACTCAGTAAAAGCAATTGTAACAGATTATTAACATCTGCCTAAAATTTGGCACATTGTGGAGTTAAAAGGAGTTTAAACCTATTTGCATACCTTTCTGGGTTTAAACTATGTAGACTTCCACATAGACCATGAACCAGGATCATGAAGTTCTGAGTCAAATTAAAGTAAGGCAAAGGTTGCTAGGTACATATGTCAATATGATGATTCTGTAGAAAAAGTAGCTGGGATGTGTCTAATGCAATGCTTTGAAATTCACGCTTGTTTCGTTTCAATTTGCAGAAGTCATTGCAATTGCTACTGAAAACTGCTCTGTGAAAGGAAATGGATTGGATTGGACACATTCTAATATTATTACTATTTATTCTTGGAATTATGTTCCTTTTGAAAAAGGGCAGTTCCTGGAATAGCAGCTGCCCCAACCTTCCCCCAGGACCCAGGACTGTACCCATTTTTGGAAATCTGCTCATGATGGATCTGAAGAGGCCTCACAAAACAATGATAGAGGTAAAGCCTGGTGATTAAGAAGGATGAAGGTTCTTTGCCTAAGTTTATTTGCCACAAGTTTGCAGACACTGAATTAAATCTTCTTGGTTCCCTGTTGGCTTTTCATCTCTATGCAAATGTTTAAAAAGGGAGAATTTATCTGTTATTTAAATTCATTTAAATTTAACAGGAGGATTATTCCAAGAAAAGCAATTTGTTAAAAGGTTCCATTTTTTTTCTAATAATTTACTCAAATTGGAAGAGATGAATAAAAAGCCCTTGAACTCTTGGGGAAATATAAATGAGCATATTCTTTAAGTTCTTCCTTTAAGAAATTCACAATCAACTTCAAAAACTATTAGGAACAATTAGAAAGTTTTTGTGTGATTCTTTCAACAACCTGGCAGAGGCCCAGTTTCTCTTTTAAGAAATCTCATTGTATGTCTAGACTCCTTTAAATCTTGCAAGTGTTAAAATGTAGCAGTTTGATATGAGCTCATGTGCAAGTATCCTTTTACTACATAGGTGTTTTTATTTGTTTTATATAATTATATATAGTACATATAAAGGTACTAACCAAAATAATAATGGCTTCATAATGTGCCATAAAAAAATAAAATAATGTGACCTCAATCTTGGAACTGTGATACATTATTTTTAAAATGAAATTCTACCTATGTGAGTCTAATTGTTGGTCAAAATTGTATCTTGTTGTTCATCTGCTATATCCCAGTTGTCAAAAGAATATGGTCCAATTTTTCGTCTTAAAATGGGATTCGAGGAAATGGTGGTGCTGACTGGCTATGAGACGGTCAAAGAGGCTCTAGTGAATCAGGCAGATGCATTTGCAGAGAGAGCCTCCGTCCCCTTTTTTGAGGATTTTACAAAGGGCTTTGGTGAGTTGTTTCATTTTGGACTGTAGCTGGCATTACTTGCAGATGTGCAATCAGTGCCATGGAGACATTTTCATAGGTAGTAATGTAAAAGGACTAGGAAACCTGTGGAGATCCAATCCAGGGAGTGACTATTTCAACTATACCTAGTTGTCACTAGGAGGAGCTGGAGAATAAAAAGCCAAGAAACTTGCACTAACAGCATGAGTCATACACAGGCACAAACACACAGGTTTGGTTCTGCTTTTTCTTTTCTTTTCTTTCTTTCTTTTTTCTTTTGCAAATTTGGGGTGTGGAAAGTCCTGGTGGTTTGTCTGCATTTTTCTGTATATGTCTCTTCGTATACATAGTTTTGCTTATTTCTGGTCCCCAATGTTAATTTTTATCCATCTCTCAAGGATCATTTCTCCATAAAACATGTACAATGTGCACAACACAGACATTTTAAAAAAATGCCCCAAGCTATGGAATGGAGAATTTGCAATGCCTATTTCAAGTGTTTAGTGAGTGTTGGAACTGGTTCATTTGTGGATTTTTCTCTTTCTGTTTGTGCATGTGCGCGGGTGTGTTTCTCCCAAAACTCTGCTCCACTTGAATCTGCCACATCTCTTGGCAAGGGACCCCTGGCTATTTTACACACTAGACTGTAGCACTTACTGATCTAGACAGTATTTTTTTAAAAAAGCATACCTTCAGTACAGAGTATTTCCAATGTATCAGGAAAGAGATGAATAAGTGTTTTGGTATAAAAACCACATGCGGGTTTCTACACTCTTCATTTCTGAGGCTGTAACAATGCTGGAAATAACTTCAGGAATTATTCTTCAGGTATTATTTTTTCTCATGGTGAGAACTGGAAAGTGATGCGACGGTTCGCATTATCCACATTACGGGACTATGGAATGGGCAAGAGGACCATTGAAGACAAAATCACAGAAGAGTGCAGTGTTTTAATGAAGACAATTGAGACCTATGCAGGTGGGTTGGTGTTTCCTCCTCTAATAGAGCATCTTTCAGGACAAAAAGTAGAATGAAAAATGGCTTCATTGTGTTATATTAACAAGGACTGTTTTTGGAATACTTTCCCTCTAACAATTTTTAAATCCATTTTCCCCATAAATAGGCTTAGTTGTCTAACGTATGCTAAGTAGGATTTTTCTTGAATTAATATTTTATAAACCAAACACATGTCAAATCATTCTGGTAGTGTTCGAATCAAAAACATTTTCTAATTCTATACTTTTGAATAATAAAGTCGGAGGTTCAAGAAATCAGCACAACTTTAAGACTAGGTCAAAGCAGTTTCTTTATTGTTGATACCTATATTACAAGAATTTCACCAGACTGGCTGAATTCCCTTGGGAACCAACAGATAAGTCTTCACTAGTCTGGTCTATGATATTTCCTTCCTCGGAGCAACTCTGTATTGTCACATCTTTAACTTTTGCATTTTCTTTAGCCAGTGATTTCACCACATTGTCAGCCCTTGTATTAACTTCCTATAAGCAGACTCATTGTTCTTATTAATGACCCCCCCACCACTGTTGTGTCATCCACAAGTTTAATAATTGTGTTAGTGTTATACAATGAGGTGCAGTCATGTGTGTACAGAGAATAAAGGAAGGGGCTTAGCACACAACCCTGGGGGGCTCCTGGGTTTAATATCAAAGTAGAAGAATGGTGAGATCCCATCCTTACTGATTGTGGCCTATCTGTCAGAAAATCCTTTATCCACAAACAAATCCTCTGATTTATACCCAAATTGGACATTTTAAGAAACAACCTGTTGAGTAGAATGATATTGAAGGCAGAGCTATAATCCACAAATAACAACCTTACATATGTTCTCTATTGTTTCAAATGATTCAATACAATATGGACAACAATGGACATAGCATTAGTTGATTTATTACTCCTATGTGCAAATTGATATGGGTCCAAAGTAGATGGAAGACTAGCCTTAATGTGGTTCAACACCAGTCTCTCAAAACATTTCATGACAAGAGATGTTAAAGCTATTGGTCTATAATCATTAAGAGATACCACTACTGTTTGCTTAGGGATTGGCACTATAATGGATGTCTTCAGGAAGGTAGGGATAGAGCATTGCAACAGGGATAGATTGAAAATATCCATGAACACTCCAGCTAACTCTGCACTGCAGTCCCTAACAACTTGTCCCATGATTCCATCAGGTCCAGCTGCCTTCTAGGTGTTAACATTCTGGAAAGCTTGTCTCACATCAGATATCTGCAGAAGTGGTTGTCTATATATAAGGTATAGTGCATAGTTATTTAAAGGGCTGCTTATATGCCAGTTTGTGCTAGCAGAGTTGGTGTGTTCCAAGTTCCTTCAATGAAGCAGTGCCATTTGTTAGGATGCAGGAAGCACACCTTTTATGGTAGCACCTGCCCTCTGGAACAAGATGTCCCTTGAAATCCATGTGTGTTTTACCTTGTTGGTGTTCCATAAGGCCTTGAGGTTTGTTCTCTCAGACCTTGAATGAAAGTGGATAGAGTCTCTTTTGGAATGTGTTTTTATATTGAGCAACCAGATTCCACCTTGGTGCAGAGTTTTTTGAATTGTGTGTTTACGTTTATTATATGGTAAGTTGCCCAGAATTGGTTTGGAGTCAGGATAGGACCTAAATAGCACTGATTATGTTACCTAGTTTGGTAAAGAATTGTTTACAAGAAAACGATACTTAGAGAACACTAAGAACCCCAGAGTTACTAATCTATGTTCAGAAACTACAATTGTACCTTTGTAGTAATGAGTTGCCATTTAAATACTTTTTCCCATTTCTTAACCTATTTCTAATTTCATCAACACCAGCTATAAGCTTTTATGGCGAATGTTTCCTTTTTGTAATCTGACTCTGAGTCTAAATGCAGTGAAGAGCAACTTTAATCCTGGCATTTTTTTCACAGTCTTCTTTTATTTTTCATTGCTCAGGAAAACCAATTGATATCACAACAATAATGGGAGCTGCTGTTTCCAATATCATTGTTTCTATTTTATTTGGCAAGCGATATGACTATGAAGATGCCACATTTCTACGACTGCTGAAGCTGTTCAGTGAAAATATCCAACTTTCAAGAACCCTTGATATTCTGGTAATCTCATTTGTCGTTTGAAGAACAAATCTGTGACATAGAGGCAGCATAATGTGTGTCATTGAGCCCTTTTCTTCACCCATATATATTTCTATATGTATACATAAAGAAGGCTTAATTCCATTATTTTCTCAATATATAAAAATGAGATAAGTGGAACCTTCTAATTATCATCCAATTAGATTTCTTCGAGTAAATAGCAAACTATAGAATATGGCAGATATTTATACCATGTTTTTTTATAGACTGTGCTCAAATGCCGTCAGTGTCTGAACACTATGGTCTAATGCAGGGCTAGGTTCCTGCCAATTCTAACCTCTTCTATAGAAGAGGTTTCAGAAATCTACAGTGCTGTTTAGAACTGGTTCTATCTCCCTCCCCCCGCCCAACCGCACATCATCAAGATGAAGAGCGAGAGGAGGAATTCTGGGGGTTGAACTGCACAAGTCTTAAAGCTGTCAAGTTTGAACATTCCTGGGTTTTTTTTCCTAAAGGTTAGGGATGCAAGGGTCTTGTAACTTGATAGCTTTAAGACTTGCATGCTTCAAATGCCAGAGTTTCTGAGCCAACATTTTGGTTGCTAAGCAAGAGCGTTGTTAAGTGAGTTTCACCACATTTTGCAAGTTGGCCACACCCACTTAGTCACATGGCTAGCAAGCCACTCCCACCCAGTCACATGACTGGCAGGCCACTCCCACCTGGTCACATGGCCAGCAAGCCACTCCCCCAAAGCAGGCCACACCTACAGAAGAGGTTCTAAAAAAATTGAAACCCACCACTTGTCTGATGAAATGTTATAATCTGCCAAATGGTTTTCCTCCTATTCCTTCATCTAACTTGCTTATGAAGAGTACTGAGCCAAAACAGAACCTTGGAATAGGCCAAGGCATGCTTCCCTCCATATAGGTGTAGTTCCATTGATGACTATATGCTGATTTTGAGAGACAGTTGTGACCCCATCTGGTGGTGATGCTGTCTATCCCTATTTTTCTATATTACCAAGAAGTAGGTTTATGGTACTGCTGCCAGGTCTGCAAACCATCTTTCCCGGTTTGCAGACAACTGCTTTCAACAGATTGGACTATTCCCCTTCACCACTTTTTTTGGAAAGACAAATGCAAAGTAAGCAATTCTGCTTTCTCCCTGCTGCCTGTCACCTCCTTGCCAGCCTTTTCCATTATTGGACTGATAATTTGCTTGACTTTTTTCTTGATTTTTTTAACATGTTGAAAGAAAGTTTGTTTTAATAATTTTTTATATTTGTTGCAAGTCAACAAATGGATTCCATACTCCCAGAGTATATTTCAATCTCTCATATGAAAAAGATACCTATACATCACACATCCACTATAAACACATAGGCAATAAGAATTCATAACCCCAATTCTAAGAAATTTTAATTCCTCTCACATAATGAAGAAATCACTGTTTTTATTTTGTTACATGCATTAATGGTAGAACCTCTATCTGCTGGTAGCATTTCTATCTATGCCTTTAGCCTGACTGGTTTCTTCTTCTTTTATTGTTTTAATATTAATATTAATAAAATCTAAAAAAATCTAAAATTCATGTGATTTTTTATGCATACGTTTTAGTTGTATATGCTTAAGTGCTTGCTACCTTGAACTGAGATCATAAAGCAAACAACAATAACAATATCATCACATTATTACAAAGCATATTCCTTGTCATGGATGTTTGCAGCAAAATTGCATCCAAAGGATGATATAACTATGATATCAGGATTCAAATTCCACTCTTATGTAACTGCATGCAAACTTCTCAGTGAAGTATGCAAATAACTTTACCATCATAACTTCATGATGCACACTTCAACATTTCCTCTCCCTCCCTCTCCCTGCTTGTGAATATACTCAGATGGGAAGGACAGGAGCCTTCATTGCAAATAGTTGTCCATCTTTTTTTTCTTTATACTGCATAACCCTAAAAGTACTAAACAGACCAGAACTTAATTTGGCTTCTTATATTGAATATTCCAGTGACGTGCAGTGAGGTTTATGGCTGGTGAGGCACTGACACAGTGGTGGGGTTCAAATTTTTTTAGACTTGTGGACTTTAAGTCCCAGAATTCCACAGCCAGGCATGCTCAGTTCCAATTTAAAGCGACAGCATTTGTTTTTCTCCTTTGCAAAAAAGTTTCCTTCATTCTTTTTCTTCTCCCTCCCCCTCCTTCCTCCCTCTCTCCCCCCTCTCAAACTGACACACACACACACACACACACACAAGTTGGATTGTACTATCTCTCCTACCCCCTTCCCTCTCTCACTCACTCACTCTCTCTCAAACAAACACAAACACAGAAGTTGGATTGGAGCCGATCCAAGCCTTTGATTGCCTTTTCAAACTTGTAATCAGTGAAGCTGGGCTTATATAGTTTTATCCAGCTCTCTCTCTCTCTCTCTCTCTCTCTCTCTCTCTCTCTCTCTCTCTCTCTCTCTCTCTC